AATGAGTTCAAGTCATCCTAAGCCATCTGGCAATGAGTTCAAGTCATCCTAATCCATTTGCAATGAGTTCAAGTCATCCTAATCCATCTGGTAATACGTTATCGTATATCATACTCTAATTCGGAGGCCACTGTAGAACATGTTAAGCTTTTCGGAGTGGAAACACTCGCCAGGAATCGAACAAGGGATCTTTGACTTGCTAGCTAAATGTGCTAAGTGGTACATCCAAGGAAAGACTTCCGCGGGTAAAATGCTGTAATTTCTGTCAACCTTTTGTTTGAACAAATACACAAAAAGCATCTGATAATTTTCAATCCATAATGCGAGGCTGCATTTTCCCCCCTTAGTTTGTTTAGGAGCTTATAAGATATAGAAGTTGTTTTAATTGCAGCTTTACTTTAGGATAGACTTATTACGTAACTGTAATATTTATTACTATGATCTGTATGTTCTGTATTATGATTATCCAGGCTTACAAATTTTAGTATAGGCTGCATGCTCTCTATTATGATTATCCTGGCTTACAAATTTTAGTATAGGCTGTAATGTTCTCTATTATGATTATCCACACTTGCAAATTTTAGCATAGGCTGTCTGTTGTACTGTGTAGCAGGCTATTATATCCTGCGAGAATCCATGTTCATATTAATAATTTGTAACAGAATTAGTAGATAACAATTTGTACCTTTTGTTTCAAATTTTCGGCGTATTTGGGTGACAAGGCAAAAAATGGATGAGCAATTTATCATAATGTTTTGCATTTTGCTATATGTTACGATTATTCTAAGATTTATAAGTTCTTTGTCTCATTAGCTACTTTACAGCTTAATACAATGGTTTAAAAGTTTTCTCATAATGAATTAATGATAGTTTTTTCTTCGCTTTACTCAACTTCAGCTCATGATAGTTTCATAAGAAATTTGCCTTGCGTCGCTGTGTGGCATAGTGACAATGGAGCTGACTGTAATAGCTTTGGACAGGGTTTAGAAATTCCGGTAAAAGTAAATAATTGTAAATGCATAGTGTCTTTGTGATACAGGGGTCATAAATACCATCTATATGAAAGTTGTCTTATAAGGTATTTCTCCCGATTTCCTAGCGTGACTTAATGGTGTAGTGGTTCTGCACGCTGGGCTGGTATTCCAGTGGTCCGTGGTTCGATTCCCGGCGAAAGCGTTTGCTCATTTTTCATCTCTACGACCTCCAAAAAAATTCTTAATGTCTCTACAGTCTAGACAGATTAGTAAAGAAAGAGGGATAGGACATCCTTAGACGTACCTGCGGAGTTTCTCCGTCGAACCTCGAGCGCAGCAGTGTAAACTCATACTCTCATCTATAACATGCCCAAGACGTAGGCCAGCGACAGGTTCAAACTTTTTTCTCTTGGCCGCGATGAATTTGTGGATCTAGGTCAAATTGGGAGGATGAACCACAGCAACACAATATTTGACCTTGCTATAAATAAGTGTTATTCCAAGATTTTTAAGTTCTCTGATAACATTAATATATTCTTTGCGTAGAGGCATACTTAGAAAATTTTCTTGCGTAACTTAAAGACAATTACTTTTTCGCTTATCATTTTAGCTTATGAATATTTCATAATAAATCCATGCTTTGCTTACCGAGGGAAGTTTATACCAATGAAAAACCTGCTCTAAATACCCTTTTTAATAAATCGTTATAGAGCAGCGACTCGCAATCGGTGGTACGCAAGAGTAAAATAGGTGGTACGCAAGAGAAAAATAGGTGGTACTCAACAAAGTACGCAAAAAAAGTATTTCTAACTATTAAATTCAAAAACCTCGTGAAGAAAAAGGAAAACTGATAGAAATTTCCTGTGATCGAACTCTAACTGAAGATTTCAAAAGTAACACACTTCTTAAATTTTGACTGGAAAAAAGAAGGCGTTTCAAATAAAGCTGTTAATTTTTATTGCCTTTTCGCACAACCTGTTTGTATGAACAAGTATTTTCTTCCACGTTTTATTTGAAAAACTAACATAAAACAAAATTTAAATTAGATACTAATTTATGGTTAAAGTTAAGTGAAATAAGACCAGACATAAAGAAATTGATCTCTCTTAAACAGGCCCAAATTTCACGCTAAAATTTAGAATTAAGGTATTATAACTTAAATTTTTATAATTAAAATGGTAATCAATTTTTAATTTAATATTTTTTGTTAGAACATTTAATATAGCCAATAGGTTGTGCAAATAGCAAAATATATTTTTTAAATAGTTCCACCGAGAAACTGAAAACTAATCATTGTAAAATGTAGTGGTGGTGCTTAAGTTTTTCAGTTTTTGTTTAGATGGTATGCGTTAGTCAAAAGGTTGAGAACCGCTGGTATAGAGTATTTAAGCAATGATTTACTAGTCATGGATAGTTTTTTTAAATGAAAGAAGACTAACTGAAATCTGAAAATAACTAAAACACATTTAAATATATTTTTTAGAAAATAAGTTTATTTTTATTCTCATACATCCTGAACAATAAAACAAGTATATAATACAAATCACAAAATTAAGATTTCCCGTCCTCAGAGGTTTCAGCCATAGCTTGTAACAACACATTTCTCACCAAAGCTTTAGAAACAAAAACAAATTCAAACTACACATAATATTTATTGTCTTTAAAAGCCAAAGTTATTAAATAAGATATGAAAGTACAATAGTCAAAAAATTATTTACAGTTTCAGTTACATTTCCATTAAAACATTATGTATATATATTACAATTAGTTAATTCAAAAATAACGGCTAATTAAAGCAAACTATTTTTTAAAAGGTATAATTCAGATCTTAGGGCTCGTGCTTCCTTGCTTAAATTTATGTTCTGGACTTTGCAGGAAAAATAAATTATGTATGAGTGTAGCTAATTTCTTTCTTAACATCATGTTACAGGAAGAAGCAAAGTAAGCAACAAACACTTTTTAATTTTGTGAAAAAATTACTGTAGCATTTGTCTACGTTTTGTGATTTTTTTGCGTTTCGAAATGAACTCGGTAGTGCTGAAATAAGCTATTATTTTGAATTACAAATATCATTTTTCATGAAAGTAGCTTAAAACCACTGAAGCTTTTAGAAAAACGTTTATCGGAAACAAATTAGGGAAATATTAACTTATTATAGATCATTATAACCTCGCCATAGATCATAATTATTCAGCTGCAGAACTCAGATAGCAGTTTGAAAAAAAAAGGCATTATGAAACGAAATGATTAACAGTAAAGAGAGAGTGTAAACAATAATTTTACTGCAGTAATAATTTTTCTCTTGAGTTAATGCAACTGAAAGAAAAAAAAAACTATTGTAATTTTGTTACACCCTTCATGTGCGAGAAAGACAATTTGTTATTACATAAATTTATATTGCTTCTTTTCAGCAAAAAACGTAATTTAAATGTTTTACATCTTCCCAATTGAATGAAAATAAACCTTCAAAGCTTAAAAAATTGAATGTTACTACAACAATATGCTACATTATTCGCTTAAAAATGTGCCACATTTGGCATAAAAAAATTCACTCTTTCAAATTATTAAATTTTACCGAAACAAAAATAAAATTGTCCTTAAAAATAGATAAAATGATTTTATTTTGGAGGTATTATTCTGAGATCACTGGGCTTTCAAAGTAAAGCACAAAGGGCGAAGCTTGAAAAAATATTCCTATTTTTTATTGTTATATATAGAAGAGTTTCATTCTCTATGTGTGTGTATCAAGTTATTAAAACTGAAAATTAAAAAACATAAAATGTAATTTTAATGATTTTAAATATTTTTATATTAGAATAGCGAATGAAAACGAATAAAAAATATTAACGAATGGACAATTAATTTAATGCTTAACAGCAGGGTTTTTTTAAACTTTTTTCAGTCGCGACCCCTTTTTATCACTGAGATTTCTCGAAATCCGCAGGACCCTATAAATATTGCGCAAATTCGACACACGCGTGAGTGAAACTGTCGAGGTTTTCACTTGTACTGTAATATACTATTGCAGTTTTAGGTCATTAACTTTAATTTCTAATTTTAAGACATAAAACAATGTGAAAATTTTACATAAGGAACAGACGAAATGACAGCGTCACGCGCAAAGCAAGGAAAATGAACGTTTATATTATAAAAAGAATGTGTCGAAATGTTTTCGTCTTTTTCTTTATCTGTATTGTCTTATCTTTATCTACTTTCAGATACATTGTGTAAAAATATTTGGTAATTGTAAAATTATTATAATAATTTAAAGAAATATCGAAACTACTAAAATTTTTGGCGGCCCCCTACCCCAGGTCCCGCGACTCCCTTGGGGGTCACGACCCACAGTTTAAGAAACCCTGCTTAAAAGTATACTGAATATAAAATGCCTTGACATTTGATGGCAGATTGATGATTAAATAAATTTACTTGAAATTCAGAAAAGTATTGTAAAAAATATATAATACATTCAAAGGAATAATAAAAATAATTACTATAAAAAGATAAAAATAAGTATAAAATAAAATAAATACCATGAGTTACTTGAATTTTGATATCTTTAAGTACAATCTAAACGGATCTCGCAAAGTTATTGTACTAGAGAAAAAAAATGGAATTTACTAGCTAGTACACGTAATGTAAATGCAGTTATAAAACATACATTTTCTAAAATATTTTTTTAATATCGATTTGAAATTTGTCGCTTTTTTTGAGGTATTAATAATTTTAACCTTTATCTAAGAGTAAATATTCATCACCAATGAAGTTGACCATTAATGAACATCTAAACTAGTTTACAGCTTTACTAGTTATTGACTGTCAAATTTTACAAATATTATCAAAAAGCAGGCAGAATGCACATCATATAATATATCATCAACAGTTATTGAAAGTAAAAATCAAATTTTCCTCGTAAGGTTCATAGGTTTTTAGGTGAGTATATATCTATGTTTGATTTTCATAAACGAAAATTTTGCTTGTTCTTTAAATACAAGTTTCGATAGTTCGTTCAAAATGATTTTAAACAAAATAATAAATTGATTGACTCCAAAAACTGCTCTCAGCACTTTTTTGTGTCACAGTTTAAGCAACTACTTTGATAAAAAATAATTTTTTCCTGAGATAAAGAATGCTTGTTTTTTTATTCAAAATGACCCATCGAAAACCTTTCTTAATTGGCTCATTTTCTGAACTTCAAATAATGTTTCGCTTTGTATGCATAAAACACCTGCTATGAACTATATACGTAAAAAACAATGAATGCATTTTCAAAACAAAAATGCATGACACAAAATGACAAAAATCAAATCCGAAGTATGATGAAAAATGACTGAATAAAAGTTTGTTTTGTCTGAAAACATCGCAGAATCTGATGAAAACATGAAAACCAAATTTTCAAGCTATTGCAGAACTGGTATTTTTTCTCCAGTAGGCCTCACAACAACGGCACGGCAGAATATTTCTTTCTGTTGCAACCAACTGTATGTATTATCGAACATCAGAATGTCTGTAAAACAAAAAGAAAAATGTCATATATTTGAAGAAACTTCTGTACTAATGCTAAATGACTACAGGAATTTATCAGATTTTTAATTACAGAACGGTCAAAACATATTTAAATTTCTGATATATAATAAAATTGGAAATATTTCACTTCGCACATAAATATGCCTTTGAAAAAGTTCTTATTTACTAAAAGTACCTCGCGCTTATTCCATTATATTAATTTGTCAATTCAGTGCCATTATGATTATTTTGTTAGTCAATGTATCAACAATAACATCAAGTAGTTGTTCTGCTGTTATTTTAAAATGAGTAAGAATAACATATTGAAATCTGAGGGTCGTAGGGTCGTGATATTTATTAACTGTGCGGTATTAGTTCCTTCAGGAATCTAATTTTTTGAAAAGTAGGAAATCGCGTTGTAGTTCTTTCACACTTTGTTTTTGATAGTTAGATTAAATTGCTTAACGTTTTACAAGTATATCAGAAGTTCTTACGTAACTGCACGATTTATCAAGGGTTTTGTTTGATTATCTTTTTTTTTTCGATTATAGATCTAAACATGATACTGAGAATTTTTATCGCATTATGAAATGGAAAACCGTGAAATCAGGTACGACATAAAATATTTTAATAAGCTCAGTTACGTGTGAATTTATTTTCCTGTTAAAGTTGGATAATGCATATTTCAGCATGTCATATAAAATATGCAGTGTCAATATTTAAAGGTGTATTCAATAAACTTTGTAGAGACATTAGGTATTTTTGGAAGCAGGTAACATGAAAAATTAGTAAAGCCTTCGCCAGGAATAGAACCTTGGACCTCTCAATTACGCGCTGAGAGTGCAGACCACCACACCACGAAGGCATACCAAGAAGGTGGGAGAACTACCTTATATACTCCCCCCTTTTAAAGGGCTACTGGGGTTTTTAGGGGACCCAATCAAATCCTGGGTGGGAAGAATCATAATCCACCACTCTTTTAGTTCGGGCGCCACTGTAGAGACATTAGGTTAATTGGAAGCAGGAAAGATGAGCAACGCCTTCGCCGAGAACCGAACCGCGGACCTCTCAATTACGCGCTGAACGTGCAGACCACCACACCACGAAGGCATACTAAGAAGGTGGGAAAAATGCCTTAGAACTTCATTACACCATTAGCTGCTCTCTCTGAGGAAAAAAAAATTTTACATGAGTCTGAGAAGGTAAAATTGTCTATCAGTCTTAAGAGAATATTTTCTTTTTCTTAAAAAATATTATAGTTATGCTTGTAATGTTTTCTCATAAAACATTATTGTTATGCTCGAAATATTTTTAAGGATAATGGTTTTTTAAATGTGATATTTTTAAATCGTAATTCTAATGTTCGGAACGAAGCTTCAGTACTTCAGAATTATTCCCTCAGTTGTACTGAAGCAGAATTACAATTCCAATGTAATTAAAAGTTCAATAAAATTGTAATAAACTAATAAAACAGCTTTAGTAATATAGCGAATCGTAACGCGAATAACAAAACAAGCTTCAAGAGTCAAATTTTAAAAGAAATAAGTCAAAACTTGGCAGATTGTGAACAGTTACAGTTGTAACAGAGTCCATTAATCTATACTAAGGCGAGATGTGATAGTCTCTTTATTATGGAGGCACCTAACAGGTGGGCCACCATTGCCTCCTATGAAGGGACGGACAGTTACAACCATGCCTTCTCCGGAATTCGAACCCAGGCCCTTCGGTATCGCAATCAAGCTTCCCTAACCACTATACCGTCTGGGCGTCAAAAAGTCAAAACGTTCATTCTGAAAAATCTAATCGCCTTCTAAATACTAAAATATTTGCGATATATATAAATACTAAAATATTTGCAATAGTACAGAGTACAAGTAAATTCCAGCCGATGGAAAAATTATCGCGGTTGTAAATACAATGATCTTAAGAGGTTGCAAGTAAACGGAGGTAGAAATTTTCATTTGATAATAAAATATCTTTTAGAGTTCTATAGTTAAGCGTTTGTTTACGATGTAAAAGTCTCAATGTAGCATTTAAATCTTAATGTGAGACTAATAGAAGCGAAATTTTCGGATCCGTTGAATGTTACTCATTATACTAATTTAAAGTAATAATAATAATTAACGTTATTTTAATACTAAATTAAGTAATTTACTACTAAGATAACTGCTGAGATTAAGACAAAAATTTTTAAAAGTTAAAGCAAGTTAATTATAGAATGCATTTATAAATACGTTTGTTGTGATTAATTTTGAGTTCGAAAAAAATCTATTAACTCCATAAAAAGATAAAAGGAGAACAACGAAGAAGATCTAGCTTATCAATTGCTAAGAATAGGACAGATGTTAATGATATTATGATGTATACCACGAGAATATTCCCCCCAATCCAAAAATGTTATGCAAATTTTAGTTACACCTTACCTAAAGCGTTTAAGAGGTACACATGGATCTGTTCTTTTCTTCTCTATAATAAGGCACGTTTACATCGAGCAAACCTAGCTGGTGAATTTTTGGAAACAGAAGGCACTGCGAGAATAAACTGACTAGACGGACTCTGAATTTGGATTTAAGGGAGTTGAAAGTTAATCCTTCAAATTCTAATTAACCTCATTCTGAGAACGCGAAACTGCTTTTGATATATCTGTAGGAGTTAAGGGAGATCACATTCTTTAATAATGCTAAGAGTCTGCATTTGTTTTCGAGATTTCACCCAATCTTATAATTTTGCTACTATATATTATTTTAATTTTATTTACTGTATGATATAGTTTTTGCATTCCTATTTGATCCCTCTTATAATTTTGCTATTATATATTATTTTAATTTTATTTACTGTATAATATAGTTTTTGCATTCCTATTTGATTTTTTAGTTTGTAGTTATGTGTTAGGATACTATTTACTACCCCAAATAAACTAATTCAGCAACTTTTGAGGAAATCAGCACTTTTTAATATTAATTTTGGACACCAGCATAATTTCAAGGTAAGAATCTGTTGACTGGGAAACGTTAATACATTAACTTCGAAATCTTATGTTTGAATAATCCCATTTTATGAAAATCTGCACATAAAATTAAATTTTAAGTTACAAAATTACTTTTTATTTAATTTTAAATTAACAGAAAACAATTATGTAAGTCTAACGTAATAGCCAATCTGATTTGAAGTCAACATGAAGCAGATACAAACAGTATCTGATTCATACAATAAATCAGCGATGCGATTTGTTTTCAGTGAAGTTAACAATGTGTAATTAATTAAGTTCATAAAATACTTTTACACACACACGCACACAGAAAATAATAATAATGATGATAATAAAGATATTTCCACTTACAAGTTCCAGGAACTTCACACTGGTACATTCCTGTTTCACATGCAACATGGGCTTCCACCCTTTGCTTTGGAATAAGCTCTTTTGGTTTGTTTTGCAGAGAATCTAAAGACTGGAAATAAAGGCCAAAACCAATGTCTTTGTTCTCTGTTTCGAATTCCCACTCAATTAGAGATCCTGGTTCGTCGACGTCCAGAACGACATTCACTTTGGACATTCTAGATACGTTAAGTTTCTTTACGCCAGGCTGGTAACACAGACGACGAGTATTACTACGGAAATAGTATGATGCAGGAACTGGACCACCTTGATTTATCTGCAATAAAATAAATTCCTTAAATATCCTTTTATCAGATACTCTAGCTTCTAATAATCGTTATAGAGTTCATATACAGGGTATGCAATACTGTAAATAGAAATTTTAGAGTATAACTGCATCTTAACAGAAATAGATAACATAGCATTGTAAATAGTAATGTAGAGAGAAATTTTTTTTCCTCTTTAACAGAGGACACAAATTTTGCATATCGCCTTGATAAATGTTTGCGCTATAGTCCAGTTCTGCCTAAACTTACAGCAGTACCTGGTACAGCTTTAGTGATCCCTGTGATAATTCGCCATTTGTGTTGTGTAAATTATAGAAATACAGGTAGCAGAAATTCGTTCCTAACGTAGTCCCAAAGGAAGGAATCCCAAAGATTTAATTCTCCATTCGAGATGGCCAGATAAGTTGCATGACCAGTCTGCTTACTAGTTAACTTCTTATTACGCAAGGACTACTGTTTGTTATTGGAGTGAAGTCCCATTTAATTTCACAGAAATTCAGTGGTATCGAATAAGAGCATTACCACGACTATCATTTAAACTGATCAAGTAATAATGATCAAGCTTGGGTTGAAATGCATTAAGATGATGTACTCTTACCATGTTACGAAAGGTAGAACACATTAGCAATGCTTAAAATCTATAAAATTACTAAAAGTTTCTTTTCCATTGCAATTACTAATATTCTTACACCTCTTTACTTAACTATATATAGTACATTAAAACTCCGAACTTCATTATGGCTCACCCCGTATGCATAGTACTTTTTTAAATTTTTTCATTCTGTTTTCTTTCCTAATTTCACATTTTTATGCAAACAGTCAACAATGCCGTAAAGACTTTCTAAAAAAACTAAAAAAAAAAAAAAAAAAAAGACTAAAAAAGTTCTTTCCTCCCCCTCTCCGATGAAAACGCAACAAAACAGCAATTCGCATTCAAGATTACCGTGCTAGCATGCTATAAGTAGAGAAGCAAACTGAGCATTTATACGATGGAGTTGCGCATGGTGATGCTTTGAAGCAAGTTATTCATATCTCGATGAAGGAAATACTGGAACTGCGGAATACATTATGAATGACCCCTCGTAGCGAAACGACCGAAATGTAAAGGGTTAAAATGCGTTAAATGAACATGACGTAAGTAAACAGAATCAGCAACGATAAATTATTATAAAATTATGCTAAACATAAAATCGGGACGTTTCAGAATAACAAAATACATAACGACTGTAGCGTATTTAATGATTTGAAGACTTGAAAACCACAATGGGATGTATTCATTTGTTGTTTTTAAGTAATGCTTGGTCAAATTAAATATTTGGCAAGTTCATAATCAACCTTAAAATTACGTATGTTGATTTATGAAGCTTAAAGTATCATACATGAAATAATTGCAGTATATGAGAATAAAATAGTCCCCTCATTTGAAAAAAAGCAGCATTATTAGATCCCATTTCAGGAAACGTAATAATAAATAATCATAACCTGTTTCACTCACTGCACATCCATTCAGTAATATTTGTTAAACTCTTTTTTATAGCAGATATATTTTCTAATTTGAAGTTATGTTAACCATCAATATTTTCTTGATTAAACTGTTTCCAGTTCAAACGTTATTTGCCGTAAGATGTTTTGCAATAATTTTGTGAAAATTTTAAGGAAACGAATCCCGAGGAGGGACAGGATTTTATGATTTTAGAATCAAATCCTAGCTTAATATATATAATATTAAACTAAATTTACAGTTTATTGAAAGATAGAATCGATCTGTCTGAAGACCGATCAGTGGCTAAGTGGCTAAATCAACAGTTACGTTTTTCTTCTGACACCAGTTGTTACGCTATTTTCTTCCTTCACGTTCGTACGGGGTTTGTGAGGACTTGGAGTGAATAATGACAACACTACTTGATGAAGTATCGAAACACATTTTATTGGCCAGTATTGTCATGACAGCTCCAAAACACGTTTATACAATCGTAGAAGAACTACTATAAACACGCTGACACGATCAGCGACACAGCCTCCAGGTTATCAGGCTATCACGGTGGAGACAGCTTCACGGCAAAGCACTAGAGTACAGCTTCCGACTCTGCTTGGTCATTCTCGTAACTCCACGTACTCTCGAGATTGTCCACGCTACAACTCGAGGTGCACTCGACGACGCACGACGCACAGAGCACAGCTTCCGACTCTTCGGTTCAGTCGTTCCCGGAGCTCAACACGCTCTCTCGACGATGCACTAACCGCGATACACTACGAGACTCTTTCGGTGCACTCGGTGACCCACTCGGCACTGGCTGCCCGGCTGTCAACTCGATCGACTCCGCAGGAATTGACTCGCTAGACGAGACACCAACTCGATACTAACTAACTGCGGACCAGCGGGGTTTATATAGCTTTCGTCTTGTGTTCGAGAACATTTTCGGCTAAACCGGTACGAATTCGTTCCAGAAGGTTCTCCATCCGTCCATGGCATATCGTCAATTTTGTCGCCAAATGGGCGATTTCTCGCCAAATGTGGCACCCTGTCTTCCTTGCTATTTTATGGCAACCCTAAATCTGCTTTGCGGGGAAGCCATCTTACCGCTCCTGCACATTTCGTAACACAACGAAATACAAGTAGTTAGCTTGCTGAGCTCTGTTTTAGGCGGATTAACCCTTTCCGGCACGCTACCTTTTAAATTTGGTGTTTTGATAAATTAAAAGGTAAGCAGTCTAATTAGGCCTAGAGGAGTACACAAGTAAAATTTGGTGAAGATAGTACTTATGGTTTTAATTCTGTGGGTGTGCCCCAATGAATTGATAGAGCTTCGAAACAAGCGCTGAAACGAGCATTGTTGTCAATGAACTGACCGATGAGATGCGAAGAAACAAAGAATACAGACTCAGTTGCCCTAGATTATCGGTGAGCCCGGTCTGGGCACACCTAGGGTTCGCCGTTTGATTTTAGGCAAGATTTCAAGGTAAAAATTTAAAACTAATATAGAATAAGGAGATTAGTATACAGCCAAAAAATAACATAGAAATTGCTTTTCAAACAATTCCTTTTATACCCTAAAATCTGGAAAATTTCTTTGAAAAATGAGGGTCTTAAAAAACTAAACATGGCTAAAATATATGGACTGGTTTGTGTTGAGCTGCCATCTACTATAAATAAAGAAGGTTCAAAGTAACCTATAAATCCTTTTTTATTCAATTTTTCTGTGCGTACAGAAGGAAATTTTTAGGTGTGTCCAGACCGGACACACTGTGCCGCAAAGGGTTAACAGGTGATCTGCATGAGAGTTTGGCAGTTTTCCTAATGTGTAACGGAAATACTGCCTGTTGCCCATTCGAATCCTACTCGGAGGTATCCTCGAAGTTATTACAATAATTTTAATCCATTTCAATGTGTTTTATTTCGGGCAAAATTTTAATAGAACAGTTTCATAAAATGTTTTATTTTCTTTTCTGGGTTAACTATTTTCCTTTCCTTAGATTAAATGAAACAAAAGTGAATGTAGTTTAATTTGTAATTTCTTCTCATGTTCCGTGCATGTATATGTATGAATATTAAGTAAATAAAAAACAATTATTTAGATTATATTGAATTTTGCAGAACAATGTTTCGTATTTTATTCGAGAAGCAGTACGCTTTTATTCTTATTCAGCTGAGGAATGGGTTGCACTTTTTTATACTTTTTATTTTTCATTTATTTATTTATTAGAGGGGAAAAGTTGTTTTATATAAATATCTTATTTAAAATTTCGTATTTCGTAATGCAATGTAAAATTTGAATGGAACAACTCGGACAGAAATGTAAAACTATTGAATCCTATAAAATAATTAAGTTGTTCTTCAAAAACCTATTAAAGAATGGGGAAGGAGCGAAGCTGATGTCTTTTAAACATACCGTTGCTGAACACCTTGGGTCTCCATCTGAATCTGTTCTTGTGCCACCCAGAGACACCGGAAGAACTTCTGGATCAATAAGTTTCAGAAGTTCCTCCTTCCATCCATCTAAAAACAAAAGAATATTTTAATAAATCACATTACGTAAGTATATTGCATAAGTACCTGAATTTTATTAACTTTTATACTATTTACTATGGAAAATCCAGTAGTTTACTCGAATTGAAATTTGGGGCAATTTCATTCCAATTCGAAATGAATTCTCATGTTAAATTTCTGCCAAAACACATACTGAAGGCAATAAAAAAGCTCACCATAAGAGGAAAATGCTTACAATTTTTATACAATCTTTGGTTTTCAGAAGTAAGAGTTTTCGGTAAATGTGACGAGAATCAAATAAAAATTTTATATGATACATGTATTGTCTTGTTCACAACAATGGTAAATTTATAAAACGTGATACTATGCTTATTTTTCAGGTTTCATTTTCATAGGTATTTTTAAGTATAAAGTACTTTACTTTCCGACTAACTACGAAACATGATGGGTATATCTATTCAAAATAAGTAAAAATTCCTTGCGTGAGAGATCATATTATTTTCTGAATTAATTCGCAATTGATGTACTTTGAGATTTGTGTGAACTATTTTGACATATTCGCTAATTTTTCTTTATGTCTAACTTAAATTTACGTTAGCTATGGTAAATATTTCCTGAGTATTTTTCTTTAATTTTAATTCGCAACTGAATTTTCTGTTATCTGCATAAAATACACTGAAAGAAACACCCAGAAACTATTTTCATAAAGTCTGATTCGTACTCAATGATAGCCGCAGCGGGGCATTAAAACGTACCCTGAAATTAAACGACTGTTTCAAGAATAATTACAAAATTCTGCATGTCAAATTTAAGATCTAATTTCGTCACCTGAAAGCATAAGGTTATCATATTTAAAGTTTATGAAAGCAGAGTAATAGCCGTATATAAGGTATATTTTTACCATTTATAAGACTCAGATGAAAATATTAATTTTTTTACAAACGACATTTCATAGAACTCATCACGTCATATTATTAAGAGTTGCTTTTCTGAGAACTGTTATTTAGGACTAGGAGAAAATCAACGTTATTAAAATCTTTGATTTCATCTACTGAAAAAGAGCCTCTGAAATATTAAAATCAAAGTTATATATTAACTGTTATTGCTGTATTTGTTTCCTTGCATTCTGAAAAAAAAAATGAATTCGAAGGTTGCAGAATCACACTTGTGACAGAACTCCAATTCATTTACAGGTGGTCGGAAGAACTGACATGGGTTGAAAGAAGAAAAAAGAGCTGGACTTGGACGATAGAATAGTAATGCATTGAAGCCCCAAACCGAAGCGGAACGAATACTTCTTCCAGCAGTGGCTATTTGGTTTGATTGTGCGAATAGATTGACGATGTTTTGCTGTAAGAGTTGCAGATAGGAATTCCGCCTCTGAGCGAACGGCGTTGGCGGGATCTCCGCTAAGTTTCATAGTTTAAAGGTAACTAACTTTCGCGATCTATGGGATAACACGTAAGTATATTTACGTATTATTAACAAATCGTATCACCAATCAAGCAGTAAATGCGATTTGCCATTTTCACAAAGCATTCTTTCTGTTCAAATAGAATATTGATGAAGACCTTTTCCCTTACCTTTTCCAAATATTTTGATTTTATTCAAAGTTGCTCCAGTAAATAAAGGCTTCACAACACTGAAGATTAGCGTAAAGTATACAGAAGCTGAAAATAAGGAATTAAAAAATTACAATTAAATGAAAGTAAAAGTTTAGTAATTTGATAAATGAATTAAATATTCAATGCAAGACAAAAATTGTGAGTCCTTTTTTTTTAGAAATATTTGTAACAAAATCTAAAATTTTAACGTATTTTTTAATAAATTCTCTTGCAACTATGCGAACACTTTTCTATGTAAAAGCTGCAGAATTTTTTGGAATAGGAAACGTGATAAATCTGTGAAACCTTCGCCGGGATTCGAACTCGCGATCTCCTCTTTGCTAGCCTAATGTGCTTACTTTGCTAGCCGGATGTGCTTACACCAAAAACCTTACGAGGTAATGAGTTAAAAAAATAATCTTACTTTTTACCTCAGTTAAAAAGAAACTAACCAGGGAGGGACCCAATCGCCAAATCTCAGTTGTGACTAATTATCATGCACCAGGGTTCATTTTAGCTCAGGCGTCTCTCTAGAGTCTTAGAATTGTTTGTAACAGGAAAAGGAATAAATTTGCGATGCCCTCCCGGGGTTCGAACTCCGGATCTCCCGCTTGCTAGAGGGATGTGCTTCCAATTACAACCTGGAGACAAGTGGCAATACGGAAGAAAGTAACCTCACATGCTTAATTTCCATTGCGTCATTGAAAGCAGATGGTAACTTTCAGTTTTTAGTGCTTTCTTTAATCAATGTTTAGTGCATTTAATGTGACATATTTTAAATAATGACATCTGATTTTGGAATTTATGTTATTATTTTTGTATTTAAATGTATACTCGAAACGTTTGTGCGCAACTTATAATAAATATTAAAAAATCTGAAATAACAACGGTCCTTATTTCGCATCACCTCCAGGAAGCAATTTGCATTAATTATATTAAGCAAGAAAGATGATAGTAGTATAAATGCATATTATTATTTTTATTCTTACGCATATTATCAGTCTTCACTAATAATAAATATTTTAATTTGATCTATACTGTTTCAGATTGATAAAAAATTAGATACGAAGGTATACCTACCATTCACGACAAACGCTAATTTTAACCTCTCCGGGTAGTGTGCCTCGTAAGTCATCATCAGATAGGCTAGCATTTGCAAAGCTGAAAAGAAACAATGCAGTAAACAAGTTAAAAAAAACTTTTGGTTCATATGAATATTAAAGCTTTAATTCAAAAATTGTCATATAGATGGACAATGAAACTTACTTGGCTTATGAGTAGCTTTCGCAAAAGTATAATTTTCGAAATCGAAAATATAAATCCACTGATCTATATTTTGCCCCATCTAAATATGGAATAAAAAATTACGTCTATAATTTTTTAACAAATATTTCATTCTAAAATTATAGTATCTAAATTAAAGAAAGGCAAACTTTATCAGGAATAATCGTAATACAAAAGCACTGAAGATTCCAACTAAAATTTAATAAATGTGTTGTGACTTATCTCGCTTGTCTGACAGTAACTTCAAAGCAAGTTACGAAATTCAGCGTGGCAAGGAGTGGGAGATTGCGCTTCTCGTTGGCAAGAGTCTTGAGTACCATACAGATGGCAGTACGTTTGCGTTCATTTCCGCCCCCAATTTTCAATTCTCCCCCGGGAAAAAGGGTCCGAGGGTCTCCCACCCCTCTTCCCCTACCATCGATCTCTCGAGAGGACTTTCGGCTCACCGCATATTTAGAGTGCCTCCATGCCACACAAATACTATACATTTACAAACATCCATGTCTTCTCCGGGATTCGAACCCGGGCCCTTCGGTAGCGCAGTCCATGTCGCTAACCATTATCCCTAGTTATCCTAGATAGTGCTGTTAGTAAGCATTACAATTTAGTAAATCGTAATGCTTACTAAAATATTTCTTTGAGGAGGAAACGCAAATAAGCCATCAGCAAATGAATTTTTAACACGCTTCTAGAATCCTTCATTTTGATTAATGTAAAAATATTTTTGTCTTCGGTGCATTTACTACCGGCGAAACTAGTAGCCTAAATAACCATTATGTAAAAACAAATCTTTGAATATTTGATAATAATACAATAGCGCGCATACATGAACGGCGATTAAAAAAAGTAGGCCTAGAATGACAATATTTTATTATCCAAGTGAGCAACTAAAGGAATCGCGAAAATGATATTTCATTATCTGCACAACAAATAGCTTATCACAGTAATAATGCATTCAACTCACATTTTGTCTTTTTTCACTCCTCCACTCAAATATTTTGTGCATGTTTCTTCGAAGAAATTTTTATAGGAAATAGAATAAAAAGAATGGAACTTCTTTAATTTCAAATGTACACGAAAGGTAATATTTTTTTTCAAAAAATAATATAAACATATGGAGTAATAAAACGCAAACAAAAAACGTACGATCGAAAACGAAAACCTCGCAAAAACGTACGATCTTGCGTCTCGTAAAAAAGTAGGGTAACTCGATAAGATACCCCGTACAACTATGTCAGCGTCAGCAACTATATTTAAACATAAAAGTGGGCAGTCAAAGATCCATAATAATCAAAAGGAACATACATATATAAATGTCCATAACAGTGGACAGTCAAACATCCGTAACAAACAAAAGGCCAACTACAGGAAAACACTAGCTTGAATTGTTCCCTACAGGAAAACGCTAGCTTGAATAGTGAGCACGATGCAAGAAAGATACACGTGTGCGTTTTGTTATCTACACTGGTGTGCAAAAATTAAGGACGAGACGGTTTTTTCAATATAACTTTGTACAAAAGCTTTCCAAATCAACACATTTAATACCGTAAGATCCCCAATACGTAAGGACATGAGTAATGTAAGCAACACTTACTAAAAGAGAAATCAGAGGGATAAAAAGAAGCTTTATTGAAAAAGTAGCATGGAGCGCAATGCGACTGAAGGCCGAAACATCCCTGTGATGGGTGTCCAGCAAGAAACGTCCGGTCTTTAATAGGGGATATGATCTCCCCTGACTGCTAGGCAGGTTTCACAGCGTCTGCCCATGCTGAGAATGAGGGTGTCAATGAGTTGTTGAGGCATTGCTACCCATTCGTCTTGCAGCGCCAATCGAAGCTCCGAAATCGTTACTGGTGGTAAGGTACGAGCTGCCAAGCGTCTGCCTAGAAAATCCCATACATGCTCGATGGGATTGAGATCCGGAGATCGTGCCGGCGAATCCCTACGTTCAATATCCTCACTATCTAAGAGCTGTTCGGCAGCTACTGTGCGATGACATGGTGCATTGTCGTCCATGAAAAGGAACTGCGGACCCATAGCGCCTCTAAAAAGAGCCTAAATCTCGTTACAAAAACGGGTCCCGTTGACTGAACCTGCGTCGAAGATATGAAGGTCTGTACGACTACCAAGCATGATGCCTCCCCAAACGAGAACACCGCCACCTCCATACCTGTCCCTTTCAATGATGTTCGAGGGATGATTGCGGCTTCCCCGCTCTCTCCAGATGAGTATGCGATGAGAATCGCTACTCAGACTGAATCTGCTCTCATCTGTAAAGAGTACTCGTCCCCATTCATTGTCTCTCCAATTCCGGTGTTTCCGGCACTACAGAGAACGCCTTCTCTGATGGGCAGGCGTTAGAGGTACACACCGTACAGGGCATCGTGCAAACAGACCACCACCGTGCAGTCTTCTGGCCACGGTAAAACGCGATATCGGTCGTCCAGTCGCCTGTGTCGTGTGTCTAGCGATTTCTCCCGCTGTCTGCCGCCTGTTTCTTCTGGCCTGTAAGGCAATATACCGGTCATCTGCGGGTGTCCTTCCTCGTAGACGACCACTACTAAACCCCCGGATTGCTGTTCCTGTAGTTTGAAATTGTCTCCAAAGTCGTGAAACGATGCTGTGAGCAATTCCGAACTCTGCAGCCACACTTGTCACACTGCGGCCTTCCTCCAACTTCCCAATGATTCGACCTCGTAAAAGCAGATGTCGTCTAACAGATTGATTATTCGCCATTTCTCGCTGAGGCAGCAACTCGGTGTGATTTTAACTGGTATACGGCGTGCAATCTCTTTGCCAGAAATACTGATCTTACACCGACAACATGCTTTATACTACTCAGACACTCCCCCATTACGTCTACCTGCATATCTGCGCATGTGCTACCGTACATCACCTTACTTAATCTCCTGATTGGTCTTTCTGTCCGCTCTGCCTCTTCGTTCAGCTGATATGCTAATTTTTCGACTTCATCCTTAATTTTTGCACACCAGTGTATATGCCTCCATTCCGACTTTGAATGGTATAATTGAAACTGTGATTCATCGAATCATACAAATCTCCTGTCATTTACTAAGCAATTCCTGTGTTTCTAGAAAAATGAAAGTATATCATCTTGCCCGAGACAGGAAAGTTTTATAAATGGAGTTTCTTTATTTGTAGCAGTAGAAAGTAAATTATTCAGATTATCAAAAATTCTAACTCTTTTTTTTCAAACTAAACAAATCTGACACCATCCCATTACGCTCTGACATCCAATAATCATTTGACACTTGTGACCACAGGCTTTGTGCTCAAATCCGGGTTTTTGTTAGTTACGATCATTTTATTACTCACCGCTACTTTTTAAGCATCCATAATCATTCAGATTTCAAGTTCATCTACTCATTTTACTGACTATGTCACACATATGTTTAATTTGCCTCTGATTATCTTCACTTGTCCGTTTATACACCGATTCAGATATTGCATATCAATATTGCTTGTAGAGTAACTATTTCACATAACTTGCAGTGCAGTAATGATAATTAAGTCCACCGCTGTTTGTATGTTTAATGCATGAGATCTGCCATGAAGGTAAAAAAATCTTTTATCAGCAAAACAACCTAAACTGGAAAGAAAACAAAGGCTTTTTAAACTGTAAATGATCTGTAATAAAATATCCCTTATGGTAGCTTTGTTGAGATCGAGCATCAACTCCGCAAAAGCATTAACATACTATTACATCTTAATAATAATGAAATTTAATGCAATTAACAGATTTCTAAACAACTCTTTTAAAGAATTTTAGCAATAATTTTAGGCGAATTTTAGAGATATAATTTATTATTTACGATAAAATAATTTTAGGGAGGAATATTTCCTTCTATTCCGTAGGCAAGGACTCGATAATATTTCAGAGGAATTTTAAGGTTATTAATTGCTCTGCTTTTAATTATTCTAGAAAAATTGCTTTCTCTAAAACTTAATAAATGCTTTACTTAATAAAACTGATGCCATATTAGGAATTATTATCAAAGCTTGTATCTTTATTATGCCTTTCGTTTCTAATTAAAATCAAATCACAGAATTACTTACTTCGCTTCAATTTACTAAATTTTGAGGTAGACACCGAATTTGTAGCCTACTTTCAAAAATTAATTTAATTTGATTTCACTATACGTTGTAAATCCTGCTGTCTTCTGGTAGACTTACTGTCTCTCATTTAAAGGAGTTAAGGGGAGAGTAATCGAAGAAGTTCCGTTGAAATTGGTTCAGAGGTTTGTAAATTTACTGTAAGCCGTATTTAAGAAAAATTTCATATTTTATTAATAGTATTTTAATTAAATTGTCGTAATTTATACTTATATCTACCGAAAAATAATATCAGCTATTTTAAGAAACGCTTTTTAAATTCTACGTTCATTTACCTTCTATAGTTTGTTGTCATTTGATGTTAGATCTGAATACAACAAAGCATACGAGGGCTATCTGCCTAAAAAGAGTAATGCCTTCTTGGAGGAAATTCTAATGGAAGTTTGCCCATATTGACGTTACACATGGGGAAAACACGAAAACTAGCTATGCAGCCAGCCCTTTCACCGGGAACCGAATACCAATATTCAGCGGTCTTAAACCTTGGGCCACTGGTGGGGCTACTCTTCATTGAGATGGCATTTTTATTAACTCATATCCCGTCAGATATTAATATAGCTGATAGTGAACTTTGTACGGATTGTAGGTTTTCAAAATACACCGCTTTAATTGACATTACATGACATATATAATTTCTAGAATGAACGTAAACAATTATTTTAAAGTACTTTTGAAAGTCTGTAATTTACTAACCTTTTTGCTTTTCTCCTTCATTCTTACTGCATCTGATTCCAAACGCTGCACCACAGATTTTACGCAATCATGTTTCTTGGCAGATTTTAACAAACCTACGTAAATATGCGCATAAATTATAATGGCTACGAGACATTTTCTGAGTACAAGGAATACATTTGTAAAAGAATTTGGTAGTCAAGAAACGTTTATACCTAAGGTTAGAATCAAAAACACAGTGTGCAGAAGAACTTAGCTTCACAAATCGAAGAATGTCGAACTGTACATAATAAGCATTCGAAAACATTTTAAAACTACCGTATTTTCTGTGTAAAGCCCGAGAATTTTCAGCAAAAGTTTTGTCACTATAGATTGGTTTAAACACGAATTCAAAATGACTTACGAATAGTTCGATCAACGAACCTGATATTACAGGCTAAATAATTGAAAAAAAAATATTTTTATTTCATCCCAATAACAATCAAATTTCTCAATATATCAGTATTCAGTTCATAATTTTTTAACAGTTTCTGAAAATATATCTCGGCTACAGCGCACATCATCGTTTTCAATTTATCCATTAACATCATTCAAGTCGTGAATTACCACCATCTTTAGATTTGTCCAAAGCTACATTTTTGGAACTATAGTTCGATTGCTTCTGACCTATTTTTCGAACAGATGAGGATTTGGCACTCACCTAAGCTTAGAAAGCCAGTTATTCGCACTTTTGGCAATATGCAGCTGATTTTATTGTGAGATTATAAATTCGGCTTATAATAGAAGGGTTTTTCCAATTCTAGGCGAATTTTTTCAACAAACTTTTACCTCTTCGTCTTGTATATAAATCAGCTTATATTCGAAAGTATACGGTAGTTTAGTTTCACACCTGCTGGTAACTATATTTTTAGGTTATCTAAAATCGAAAGCAAAATGCAGGGATGCTTTGAACTTTTCATTTTCAAATTCAGCAGAGTAGTTGGTGAGTTATAAATGTTAATTATCTGCAGTAGATTGTAGAGCATTTTCGCATTCGTCCATGCGTGATCTTGTAGTGTGAATGATAGCAGACTCAATTAACATTAAGGGATCCAGGGTTCGAGTCCCGTCGAGAGCATAATTCATTTTTCATATTTCCTGCTTCAAGTTTAATGTCTCTGTAAGTTAAATAATTAATAGGAAGCATTAGATCGAATTATTGTGCTGGTATTGAAATATAAATGTGTTTACAATTTAGAAGATAATGTGAATAAAAGAGAAGTATATTCAAATATGATATCAAACTAGCTTCATGTCTAATATGCATCTAGGCGAAAAATAAAATGAAATTAAGCAATGAATGAAAAGCAGCCGTCATCCTGTCGAAGAAAAAAATTGAAGTAAAACATATGCAACTGGATCAAGAAGTTTTACCACGTAAGACTGAAGCATGCATATCTTCTATCCATGCTTAATATAATTTTAATGTTATTTTATCAATGGAGATTAGTTTTTCGTAGATTAATTTATTTCAAAATGTTAAGGTTTAGAAAATTATTTAATTTTAACTTAGATCTTTTTGAGCAACTCTGATAATTTTTTTTTTCCTTTTTAAGAGTATATTCAAATAAGTAAAACAATGTTTCACAAATATTCATTACGATAATTATGGATTTATTAAAGTTAACTGCTGATGAAAACCTCATTTGTTACAATTGAATTCAAGCAGCCATGCATTTACTAATATGAATATGAAAGATTAACAAGCTTACAATTAAATTAAAATTTGTGTTTTTACCTTTTACTGTTTTAATTACGACTAGTAAATCAGTCTCAAACAAAATGAAATTATGTCTTAAGTTAAGTAGGAGAAAATATGCTCTTAATTATTTATAAAAAATGCATAGTGTGCAGAAAAATTGATTGGACGTAAAAATTTTAATTAAAGTCTTAGAAAGAATGTGTAATACATGTATATGTTTTGATAGAGCCACTTCTATTTAAGAAAACAATATCGCTGTTTTCGCATTAAAATTTCCGAATTTTAGCAAGCATTATTTCTTAAATCACTAAAATTAGCAACTTATAATGAAACAGAAGATATAAAAAAACAGTTTTGTGCACTTTCACTAACGATTCTTACCTTTAGCGTCCATATTTCCAAAAGGAAGGTATCGAATCGGCGAGCCTGTTTTATCGAACCCTATCAAACTCATTGGGAAATATTTGGCCACCTGTATCATAAGTAATAACATAAAAATTTAGCATGCTTATAAATCTTGTTGTTAAACACCTATCTAAAAAGTAATTATATCAAGTTCAAATAGTTACAATTATGATATACTAATTTATAGTTAATATTTAATTTCAATAATTTATAATTAAAAAATAATATATATGATATTAAAAAGTTAATTAAATTTAAATTAATTAAGTTTTTTTTTTATTTTGTCTGATTAAATCTGTTGTAAGCATATAAAACGTGAGATTCATGCTTGTAACTTTGTATATTATTTTAGTACAGCTAATTATCAATATACGTTTCAAATGAATTTCTGTGTTTTAACATTATAGTATTAAATATAGTAAAAATACAAATAACGTTTAAACAAAAAAGTTAAAGCTTCCTTAAAATTAACTTCAGTCTAATTATTATTCTATATAAAGCAGAGAAGCATTTAAGAAATTCAAGGCAATATTATGGTGGGTGACGCAACTGATGAAATACAAAAAGAACAATACAAGTTAGAAACAATTCCTGTTTAGTAAACTTGTCTATTGAATATATTCAGGATGATTTAATAGTCATGTTCTTTTTCTATTCCTTATTTTTTTTATTTGCGTTCTTTTTCACTTCGTATTTATATTGACTTCAGATGTGAAATCGTATGCTGTTTGTGAGATTGAGTGTGCCAGGTAGACGAATTCAGTCTATTTTCTTACATATGCAATAGGAGAAACGTGAAGCATCCAGTATCGTTAAGTGTAAAATTTAGCTCTAGTTTAGACAGAAATATATGGCTAAGTGCGGTAATTTTGGCCTTTTGAGCTCATTTTGGCATAATCGTTAGTATGCATGCAAGAATGTATGCATAATAATGTTCGTATAGAGATGAATACAGGAAGCCAGCGAGATTTAGGAATTTTGTAAAATAGGACTTTGTCTGTGAAAGAACTTAAAAACTATTTCTATTTTTTTAATAAAGAAAATGTTTATAAAAAATCTAATTGGGCCAATGTCACTACAACTTATGATAAGGTTTTTTTCCCAGTTTTTTCACAGTAAGTCACATTTCTTAAGTTTTGTAAGTTAAATTACTATTTCTGTACATTGTTTTCTATTTCTTTTAATGAGTACTTAAAGCTAATTTGAGTTCTATTATTTTTTCTCTTTCCGCGCTAAGTACTCCGAAATAGTATCCTGAAATTAGATATTCTTCACAATAGCAACTTACCTCAGGAGGCTTGTACATTTCAATGTCATCAATATCGTTTTTTTCACGCCATTCTATATGCTGGAATAGTAAATAAAACAATAATTAACTTTATATATTTGTATAACATACGTGTTACGATTTTATTTTATTTAACAAAATGCCCCTAAGATATCGATACGTAGCTAACTTCTGAAGTCCAAAGAGGTATTTTTATTTCATCCTCTTTCATACTATTCTCAAATTCTCAAGTTTTTTTTTCTGTTGTTGTGCATTTAAATTTGAATACGGACATACAAGTATTTATATGAGTATATACTCGTACTTACGTGTTCATAAATTTATGTTTAATACCTTAATGCGGAAAACTCTTAGAAAATTTTATTCACGGTATATAAATATAACAAATAATTTTCTGCTTTTTTGCTCCAAATGTGCCGAAGATAAAATCTAAATATCGCTTAAGACTGGAAATAAAATCGCTTAAGACCGGAAATAAAATGTTCTTCTATTAATAATTAATGTATTGAAATGATGTTTGCTTCTGAAATAAGCTTTGCTTCCTTTTACCCAAATTTCGATTTCATAAGACAAATACAGGAGACCTATTCTTCTGTTATAAGTTTATTTTCCTTTAAATATAATGCAAAGAAAAAAAATTGTTTTGTTTATTAATATGAGTAGGAAAGAAAGCTACGCACGGGTGATGCTAATTTTGTTTTTAATTCTTCCTCTAGTCTAGACTAAGCTCGAAGGTCTTGTGAGGACACCAGGTCATCACTACTATTTATACGGCAAACTGTGTTTCATTCCTCTCATCGGTCCCCATTTAAGAAGGGAAAATGTAAGGAATTAAAGCATTCCTCCCATATATCCTTGTGGTTTAGTGATCACCTAACATCTAGAAGGTTTCGGGTTTCATTATCGGAAAAGAATGCTGGATTCTTCAGTTTCTAACTTCAGAGGAGCTTGATTATGACTACATTCATAATTTAGCATTCATAGCATCTACATTAGTCACTATACCCATAATATAGCACTTAATTCGCCTATATTGATCACTATGTACAAAGCATAGATAGCACTTACAACGTCTGCTTTAATATGTTAAATTAATGCGAGAAACCTTAATCTCATATTTAATTGTTTAGCATCTAGCCAAAATTATTTATTGAATTTCATGAATAAATTTCCATAAATTACTAAATGCTGGGTTTTTAAAGAGTTTAAAATTTAAAATAGTGTATTTCCTACCTCTAAATACCATCCAAATTAAGAAATTATGTTATAAATAATTTAGATGGTATTGGTGTTTTCGTGAATATTAAATTCTGCTTACATGTATTCAGCCTAGTGTACACGCATTCAAATAATTTTTAACCCAGAGATTATAGTCATTATCATCGTTATTTGAAATTATCTACGCACATTATGTATTACAGGAAATTTCGATGAAGTTCAATTTACTAAGCACCATGGTTATTTTAATGATTACAACCAGTAATATGTCTATTTAATAAAGCCTAACAAGAGAAAACGAGGGTAATTACTTAATTTTGTTTCCTTATTTTAGAAGGAAAATCTAAAAGTTTTCTGATTGCTCAAACAATTTCACCCCTTAAAAGTACTGCATTTTTAAATATGCAGTTTGTTTACGGTTCACGGATTAATACATTATCAAACAGCACGCAAGTTAACTGAAGTGAAAAGACATTTTTGTAATGTTTTTACCGTTTTCTTCCTTCAGCATTTCGTAGGTCATTTAGGCCATCATGGTTCGAGTTGATACAAACTGCAATTAATTATTACGGAAATAGATTATCAAAGACAACCTGCTTCGACCTACTGTCACAGGTATTTTGTAATTTAACAATTTCCTCCCTCCAAATGAACCGTGCATTTTACCTGCTTTAGGTTGAGCAGAAATTTGAAAGCAAATTTTGATTTAACGGACTTTTCTGCAATACATAAAAAAAAAAAAAAAAATATCAAGCAATTTTTCGCTTAATGAAGGAGATATCAAAGCGATTTTTGTTTTTAATTCTGTATGTTATATAAAGCTGTAAACTTTGTGAATTACAAAAGTATTTTTTACTACAAATATAATCATTTCAACAATATTTTTTGAACAATATTACTAGAATTACCACGAAAATGTCATATATGTATATAGTTTTGTAATTCGCTATTAGATAATTCCTGAGTTAATCACACATATGTGCATAATACACGCATAGAAATTAATTTTGCGTTGCATATTATATACGTATATATATTATACAACGCAAGAGGACCACCGTTTAGCCTGAGACATGCTTTGTTAAGTCAGTAACCTGTTTAGGATAATTTCGCCTTGAAATGTAATTGGCACTCGATTGATTTCCCCTTGAGCGTTATCGCCGAGCTAAAGTTATCTAACCGGGTGAGCCCATCACATAGTTATTGATAAAGGAAACTACTTCTTCAGTAGTTAGAAATATAAAAAAAAGGATTCATGTCAAACTTAAAGTAATAACTTCGTGAAAGCTTGTTAAAACAGAAATTAAGGTGATTTATGTGAAATAAATTAACCTCAAAGACACTGCAAAATTACCTTCAGACAGAGTAAGAATAGCTTTTCGGTATGAAACGTATACGGGAAAGTACACAAATACTGAGAAGTCTTAAAAGAGTGGGCCCCTGTGCTTTTGTGGTGTTTTCGGCCCTTATATACAACTATATATATTCTTTTAAGAATTAAGATGCATTTGCCAAAATTTGAGCTGCTATCCTCGTGGGATCCATTGGCAGTGCCCACGAGAGATAAGCAGCAATCTGACAGTTGTCATTGTAAAACTGATTGAGCTATAATCAAACTCCGACAAAATATTTACCATATATAAGCAAATATATGAGGACGTCATATATACATACATGAGATGACCACAAATTTTCGCATTTGTTTTACAATAGTAAAAAGGGCGTGCATGTAAGACAGCATCAAAAACAGGGCCGTATTAAGCCCTTTAGAGGCCCTAAGTACTTCAAAAATTTTAATGCCCTCACATATGTTCACACCAGCTTTTTTTCATTCGGTTTTGGTTTAGCAGCCCCATGTAAAACCGGCTATGTGAAATTTTTTGGTGCCCCCTTTCCTGAATACCTAAAACCCTTTTTGTATGTCCCCCCCTTTTTTTTTTTTTCTTTTCTTTTTTTTTTTTTTTTTTTTTTTTTTTTTTTTTTTTTTGATGCCCTAAGCACGTGCTTATATTGCTTAATAGTTAATCCAGCTCTGATCATACACAAGATGGATCGAAAGTTCTTGCGCAAGCTTTCAAAGTAAGTTATAAATACAAAACAAACCCTTTTTACGTAGATGCTAACGGTAACGTATAGATGCCAATGCGATTTGATTGAGCTAGAAGTATACGGGGAATAAAATATAAAGAAATACAAGTAAAATAATGCAATAAGTTTATTAAACATACATATATTTACAATTTCAAAAGATGTTCATTGCATCCTATGAAATTCCATTATTTCATTCATTTTCGATGCATTGTCAGAGAAAATGCTCAAAAATGCCGCACCTCTCATCGACTGTTGCAACGAGGTCACTGTAAGAGACTCAGAGACTCTCCCATGCAAAGTTTCTGAAATAACCTCAGAGGAAGAAATCAGCGGGGACAGGTCAGTGGATCGTGGTGACCAAAAAGAAAGTTTTTTTCATCCAGCAACATCAAAACCTCGATAGAAACACGATCCGCCTGATGAAATTTCTGGCAAACAACGGTGTCTAGCATAAGCGAGGGGGCACATTTATCCGGTTGCATATTCAGTTGCTAGAATGGTTTGTTCTGTATTCCTTGCCTGCCTTTAAAAGCCCTATCACATACACTATTCGTTATCGGAACACGACGTCGAAAGAAACATATCTCGGGACTGCGTTTCTACGAAACCGGGTTACCATCTACACTTAGTAAACAGACTTGAAAGCCAAACAGGAATCAGTTATCGCTCAAATTGACGAAAGAGACGTTTGCTTTCAAATTCAGTGTATATACAAAATATATTTTGTAATTATATTAATAATGTTGACTCAATACCTTGAAAAAATGACATGCGTTTATTACATTAATTGTTACTTTTAAGTTGTATATTTTTTTACTCCGATTCTTGAGATAATCTGCTGTATTATTTTTGTAAATACTTTTACATCGTATATTCAGTGTTTTTCATTATTTCTGATTTTATTATTGTAAACAATATTTTTGTATCCATATATTTATTTAATAATTTTTATCTACACAATATAATGTCATTTACTGATATGTTTTTTTTTTTTTTTTTTTTTTTTTTGTGTGTGTGTGATGAGTGAAACATATTTATTTTATCCTCAAAATGTTAAATATTTCGTAAAGGCTATACTTGCTCAGTTTATTTTTGTTTAAATTGGGAAGTAAATTACAAATGCAAAGATTGTTTGTTAAATGGGTGAATTTTAATGACTAGCCTAATGCACAAAATGCCCTTCAATTATTTTCCAACTGTGTATTCCATATTTATGATAATGTGCAAAGAACTGATGACTATAGTTGCTGCCAATTACATGATCATTATATGAATTAGAAGTAACGTTAAATAAACATTTTTGCAATGTTCATTTTTTTATTCATACACACACACACACACACACACATATATATACATCTAATAAGTCATATATTTACATATACATCGAGAGAGAGATGCGATGGTTTAGAAGTTATTGATGTATGTTTATTAGTATTAATGTAATGAAAAAGATTTGTATTAATGAATGTATATACAAATGTTTCTCATTATTTCATCATTCATAATAATAAATCCATAAATTTTAGATGTTTCTATATGTAGGATTTATAAAAAATATATAGTTTTTAATGTGTTTATAGTCTAAGAAGCGTTTCATTAATATCATGAAGATATTAGCATACAAATTTAATGTGTATCCTCATTATTACATGATCTACGTTTTCCTTTTTTGCGCACCTTTTATGCTGTTTACAGTATGTCGCTGATTATGCAATTTCAATTTAAAAGTAATAAAAGTAATTAGCAGAAAAGTCGCGTATACACAAAGGGATTTTAAAAAATTATTCAGCTGAAATTTAATAAAAAAATTCCATTATATAATAATAGCATTTCTTTTCACACGATCAGCACGAAATACGACAAATCTGGCGAACTCTTGGCCACGAATAATTTTAAACAAATCATAAGAAATAGCACGTCATAAAATGCTGTCTACTCTGAAATTTCCACGATTATAAATTTAATGAATATATAAACATTTTGAAAATGACTTAGACAGTTATACTACAACAAAACAGCAATATATATATATATATACTGCTTTTTCCGTATTTCTTCAATGAAATCGGCTTCCATTTCCACCGTTCAGGATATCACAGTTGCAGCCATCGCCATATTGAAAATTACCCGTAATCCTTCAGAAGCAGAACTTTTGTCTGATTGGTTGATCTCTACGTAGAACACAGCTGCGAACGAAACATTTTCGGGAAAGTTTCAAAATGTTCCTCATAGCCGGGACATCCCTTCCTCGGCTAGATGGAAAATTTCTCGAAAACCTCCCGTTTAAACCAGTGCTACTAGAACCTCGTTTGTTGTAAATATCCTGCCTAGCCACGCGCGTCGCTAGATATGATAGCCCATTTAAAGTTTGTTTAAGACTTTGTGAAGCACCCTGCATAAAAACTTGCTACTATTAAGAAACTCTACAAGGAAGATAATTAAATTGTGTATTTGAATAAGGTTTCCTGCATAAAACTAAGTCAATATGCTTTATTTAACGTAAAAGTAGAGAGATCAAGGTTAAATTACCTCGATTTGATTTTTAAACTTTAATTTACGATTAGAAAACGAATATTGTTTTTAGAAATTCATTTTAAGGGAAAAAGGTTTAGACTTATATGCTGGCTGATATCTTATTTCTGCTGAAAATTTTACAAAAATCGACTAATATCAGTGATTAAGACACAATAACACGCCGAATAAATACTAATTCAGAAGTCAAACAACAACAATCAGCGTTATATTTACAAAATTTTCACAGGACTAGTTTCGATGGTTTTACCGAACTACCATCCTCAGCTGCAAAACCGCAAATGCAAATGGATTTTGCAAAATCGCAAACCGCAAATGCAAATGGATTTTGCAAAATCGCAAAATCCATTTGCGATTTTGCAACTGAGGATGGTGGTTCGGTAAAACCATCGAAACTAGTCCTGTGAAAATTTTGTAAATATAACGCTGATTTTTGTTGTTTGACTTCTGAATTAGTAATATCAGCAAATTTTTATATCGTATATGTAATTTAATTTTAAATTCAGCTTAAAAGTTACAAGTCTCGGGAAAAAATATAATTTCATTCCGAACTATACAAGCTATTAGCAGTGAAAACATTTGGAAAATATATTTTTCATTGATGAGACATATGCACTACATTACATCGATTATAAACATGCACGCCCAAAGAATATTAATAAATACTACACGTTGTTTTCAGTAACTATGAGGTTTAATGTCACATTTCATTTTCATGCAGTTAAATTTTGCATAAATTTCTACTGATTACATATTTGCGTCGTTCTGCTTCGTTTCAATTTATTCTAATTTAGATACAAAAGTGAAAAATTATTGTTACTTACGTTCCTTAACATGTCTTCAGCTTTATTTAGGTTGCAGTTTCTTGCTGCAAGGAAATAAAAAAAAATCAACTCACCACTTTATTAAAAATATAATTTATAGTAGTGAAAATTTATTCGGTTGTGTTTCATAATCAAAAATTAATTACCGCGTTGATAATGTTCTTTTACAAAAATCAAAATTATTTAGTGGGATGTCTAAAAATGCTGGGAACCCAATTTGGTGTAATTGTTTTCTTAAACCAAAATATTAACTTGAAATTTCAAGAGTAGTTATAGTGATGTCAAAAACTCAAAGTTGTTCTATTAAATGCATAAGAAATTTTTGTGCGAAAATGATAATTTGGAAATTAAATTCATCATAAAATGGGCTTTTTAAGCTTTTATTTATTTGAGTTTCTTAATTACAGGAATATTCAAAATTTAGTTTCTTTATTTTCAAGGACTTATTTATTTATTATAGACTTAATTTCGCATATGTACTATTGCGTAAAACATTTGCGATACACATAATTAAGCCTTTTTAAAAATAATTCTAGTAATTATCAAAAGGATTTATTTTATTAGTGCTCAGTAATCAATTTTGTTAATATAATAATATTAACAATGTAAATCTGAAAAAAATTTAAAGAAATTTAACAATTATGCTTTAAGGTTTTGATTTGAAAAAACTAAATTCTTTTTCAGGCAAAAATGCGTTCTACCGAGAAATGCTATAAAATTGCTGAAATGTTGCATCTGATGCTATGAAATATGTCGAAATTCATAAGCTTGAATAAATATGTGATTCAGTGAATTACATCGAGACAGCTGGAATCAGCATTTGTTCACTCAACCGATAGTTTGAAATGCTATAAAGTAATTTTTCAAAAGTGACTTTTGTTTTGCTTGCAGCTGAAAAAAGGTGAACTTATAAAAGTGAAAAACTGCCCTCAGAGTGAGAAATTTAACCAAAAAAATGCAACCTTATGTTATCTTATGGAATTTAATGAGCCCATAACTGAATAATAAGAAGTAGAACAGCATTTTTCAAAGGTTCTGACCTACACCTGAAAACGATGACTTCAGTAATGGGATGAAAGCTGCTAAAAATGAGGGCACACGTGGGATTATTGACCTGATGGGAATAACCGAAACTACGTCAGTACCTCGCTTATTTTCTAGAAGCATAAGATTTCTCCTCATTTTTAACGAGTTTTCACAGTGTTTGTTTCTTATAACTTTATACAATATTTATTTAAATAATTCCAAAGCTTAATTTTTATGTTTATCCCCCTTTACATTTTATTTTGAAGGATTGCATTTTTTAAATGTTACTAAGCCTTCATGTTTGCCTATAATGAAGAAATTTTAATACAGATTAGGAGATCAATTTTGCCAAAATTCAAATCATTTTTGAAAATTTACCGGAATAAGTATTGTTTCTTTAAATGTGGAATATCGCAAATCAAGATAATTTATTTTACGGAATATAAAGTAGATTATGAAAATAATGGTTTTCAAGTAAAAAAAATGTCAAAGTCTATGAGATACATGATATGGAAATTCTTTACGCATATATAATCCTTAAATGTTAATAAATATTATTGCTACCAGTTTGCTTATGTATTTTAATGTACAGAATTATTAATAGGTTATAATAATAATTCTTATATTTGTGACCAGCGAAATATCGAATTTTGCACTTGAAATATGTTTCCGAAAACAAAATTCTTGTAATTTAAATCATTTGCATAAAAGTATGACATCTTACCAGAGGAGATCATGAACCCACGACCACGACCGTGAGCAGAAGTTTTGGGGAAAACAATGTTAAAAGCGTCTGTAAGGTGAAAATTAAAAGCTTTTGTAAGCTACATTTTGCAGTGTTTTAGACTGCAAAACTTAGCAAAACAATAACAGGCAACGTAGTGAGCTTTATATTAGTGCCAGGAGTAGAAATCTGGAAATTATCTTTGAGAAAAATTTTAAAAAAGGAAAAATTAAATTGATTTATGTTTGCGTAATACAGTTGATTTCACCAAGACGTTTTAATTATGCATTAAAATTTGCATACTAAAAATATATAAGATTTTCTCATGAAAATTATTTCATATCTAAGATGGCACATGGAGGAAACTTACTTAGAGCTCTCTTTTTGTTGGAATAATTTATTATTGTAAACAACCTTGTCCGAAAATAGTATAACGATCGTCTTTAGAGAAAAGAAATGTTTACAATTTTCTAATTTTGGCCGAGAGAACTTATCTAAATTAATGTAAGTAACAATGCTGCTGATACTACAAGCAATGAGCTAATGCATCGTTTCCAACTTGTATGCCGCGATAAACTAGAGATAGGGTCAAAATGATTTTTGTGGCTCTTTTTCCAAAACACTGAAAGACTGTATCTCATGTCAAATTTTTTAACAAAATATATATGTTTTTTATCTATTTTTTGGACATGACAGACCTCTTAAAAAATTGTAGGAAAAAAACGAGAAAAATCTCAAGTTTTGGGAATAAAAATAACATAAAAATAATTTTTGGAATAAAAGTGCTTTCTAGATATGAGAAGGGGCTTTGAAAAAGTGAGCTAAAAGGTCATTTTGACTCTGTCTCACTGGTAGGTTGTAACGTTCCAACGCGTGAGCCACGAAATTTACAAATCTGATCATGTGTTTCAAACTTTTGTTCCCATTTGCATCGCTGCCTACCAGTGGCGAAATGGGTAAGACCAACGAACCACAGTAATTAAACTCGGGTTCAGATCCCATTGACCGGACTGTCCGTATGAAGTTTTCGTGGATTTTTCCATGTGTAATTCAAATGCAAGCCAGTTTCCCTAGGAAAATCTTCCTTAAATACATCTCTCGCCTCAGGCAAATAAACCTCCAGTGCTTTGCCTTAAGTAATTAACAAATGAGCCGTTTTAGTTTCACAATTGTACGAATCGGTATTCCTCTACAATGGGTATAAAATCTGAACACAGAAACAGGCTAGTGCATCTTTTCAGATAATACCCAAGTTGATCTCAACCATAAGGATATGACTTGAAAAGAGTTCATATACTATAATGTTCATAATAATAATTATCATAACAATTCATTCATTGCGTCTCAAAGTCATGGGTGTTTGGTTAAGGAAATACATTTAAGTTCTCTGAAGTTAATTGTGAATTTACTTAGTATATTTCAAAAGGACTAAAACTAAGCACGCAAGATAAGTTTAGAAAAATTTTTGAAATTTAAAGCCAATTTGTAACTTACGTTTTTTAGACAACTATGTGATATTAATCTGCTACTGCAATGCTTTATGGTAAGCAGAATTTTTCATTAAAAACTGTAACATTTGTAAAATAATTTAACCAAAAAAATTATTTATAATGTCAAACATCGTGAAACTCCAACCAAAAAAGGCATTACAAATTGAAAAGCGTGAAAAATGGCCACAAACTTAGGTAATGCAATTTTTATGTAGTTTTCATCGTTTCATTTCAGATCTGCTTGCTAAATGGCAGTTGAATGGCAGATCTGTGTTAGTTAAAAAAGTAGTGCATAGAGTCATCAGGTGCAATTTGGCACTTTGAAAGGTAGTTATCAGAGGTGAAGATAGAAAAGAAAATTATCTCTTTGAAAGGTGAAGGTTATTTTCAAAACATACAAGATAAAAAACTAAACTATTCGAATAAAACAGCAGTATGGAGTTAAAACGTTCTTGGGTCATCTGTGAGCGAAAAAAAATATTTAAAAAAATTTCTAATATAAATAGTTTCTCAATGTAATCGTTAAATACATGACATTTCCCTCACGTACAAATATTTGTATTCCTAAATCAACGGCTGGCATAACCGTGGCTCCACACTTAAATCTGGCAATGAGAACTCAGAGTCTTTACTGTCAGCGCAGTATTAAGTTTGAAACTCAGAATGAGCTAAAAGTAAAAAATATTTACTTCTGGAAGCATATCATTTGAAATGACTAAAGGATTTCTATGCAGATGGTTGGCATTACCATTGGCCTAAAGCAGAAAAGTAAAATAGATTTATTCTAAAAGAAAGGAAGTAGCTGGGTATAGATCTAGGCTTTTCTAAACGCCTCAAACCTTCGTTTGCAACGATCATTTCTAGAAAAGATCAGTTTTACCTTTCTAGAGAAGAAGGTCAGCTTTACAAAAGGCTTTTAAGAAAGTATTATGTATATTAGTTGCTAATAAAGAAAAACAAATTATCTATAAATCTAAAGGAGTTTATAAAGTTTTAAGACAAAGAGTGGATTTATTTGTCATTAAAGTGCAACGCTTTACCTATTGTAAATTTACAAAATATGGTCTTATTGTTATGAGAATATTATTTTATCAATGTTCGACGAAAAATATAAGTTTTCATCAACTGTAAATATTAAAATAAAAAATATAAATTGTCATTAACGTTTGATATACAAAAATGTGAAAATAATTTTAATTATTTTCACATTTTTGTAAAATTAAATTAAAAATCTTTTTATACTTAGTTTCTATAAGAAATTATACATGGCTTCATCTTCTTGGGGGCCCACCAGCGGCCGAGCGGTAAAGGCGCTGAACACTGGTAGTTCGGTCCGAGGTTCGAATCCCGCGAACGGGCTGGCTGCATGGGCGTTTTCGTGGTTTTCCCCATGTGTAACGTGTATACGAGCCATTTTCCCTTAGAAAGTCCTCCACGAAGGCATCCCTCCCCTTAGGCAGATAGCCCTCGTGTGTTTTGCCATAATTAAATACACACACCTCATCTTCTTGGGACACATCTTTAAGTTCAAGCTGCATTTGATTCTTTAACTACATTTACACTGCCTTATGATTATATCACTCGTAATTTATCACTACAATTCACAGCAATAAAATATTTCTGAATTAGATCAACTTACTACTGAATTGACCGAAATGAACTATTTAATTGCAGTAAAACATTCTAGAGTTATCTGCCAATAGGTAGAAAGCTATAGCACTTTGTTAGCTCTTAAAACTTGCATCAATGCCCTCGCGGAGGACTTAGCTAGAGGAAGTGGTCCTTTATTAACATTTCGCATGAAGAAAACCACGAAAGTCTAATGTAGCCAGCGTATTCAACCTCCTTGAATAAAGCATAACTAAATGTTTGCTTGAAAACATGATTGCGTCGAATTTAAAATGACTTGTAAAATAATCATATACCTTTATCATGGCTACGAAAATGGAACTTCTTACGTAGATTTTAAACCCGGATAAAAAAAAAAAGTGTTCAATTTCTATCTTGTGTAAAAGAAGATGTAACATGTATATGTACCTATTTTTAATATTTGGGACTGCATCAGTTAATTATTTATTAAAATTTAATTTGCGCTAAAAACATTGAAGTTATCTCTGTAGCAGTCAAGTTTATGAGAAAATTAATGTACCATTCCATGGAAATCAAAAATACATGAATTTTTTTAATAACAGTTTTTTCTTTCCATGAATCTCGAGCCAGCGTTTGATGAAATAAATTAAAACGAATTGAAACTATCTTAAAAAGTTCCTTTTTTCACTCCTGATATATTAATTTTGAATGGTATTACATGGAATTACTTTGACAGCAAAGAGTTTTAATTATATTATTGCATAGAAAAGAGATCTCAAAATCCTTATTACTTTTCACATCCTAAGTTTTTTTATGCGTCACCTGAATCTCTTTGCAGTATTTCAATACTGGCTATCGTTCTTGGTAGTCTCTTGTCGTTACTGGATTAATCTAATAAACATTTGGGAGAGAACCTGTGTAAATGATATAAAACAACATGATAATAATTTCTCCGATTTTTTATTCTTAGTCAATACCAACTTTTGGTATCAAAACTATATAAAGCATCATGCATATCTTTCTATATTCGCAATTTATCGTAATCTATAATTGTTGAGGCTTATGGCTCTTATATTACACCTGCTGACGCATAATACGTTGTTGCAATAAACATTCATCTCTGTAATAACCATTTCTTTCTAGTTAATTTATTTCCTATACGTTTAAGTGAACAAATTTCATCTGAAGAAATTTAAAAAAAACTTCATAAACTTGATATTTAAAATTCCCGCTTACTTACCTCTGAGAAATCGCAGGAAAAGCGAGTCATCATTGAAATATTCTGGTTTCATTTCATTTTCAAATCTTTTCCTCAGCTAAAAAAAAAGAATTGATTTTTTAAGTTAACAGGAAGTAAAGTCTTAAAACGTTTATATGCAACAATACCTTTCGTAACAATAACATTTTGTTCGAATTATTAAACAATTTTCGACATCTCATAAGATTAACCCGAATAAACGTTTACCTTCCTTGTCTTTGTTCATGTTGTCCATAATTTACTTTCGCAATAAGTATGAAAACTACTTTCATTTCTTCTGCCAAATGCTTGTAAAAAAGGAGCATATTACAATAAAACTTATATATTGTTTTAAGGATTGAGGAAATGGCATATATTCTATATCGTCTTTATCTGTTTGCCTTTAAACCTTTTGGGAAGGGAACTTACAAAGAAATGTATGAATGTAAGTCAAAATTGAATATTTTACTGCGAGCAATTAAAGCGACTACACGCTTTTTTTCTGTTTTTGTTTTAAGCCGCGAAAAATATACTAACCTTTACTCTGCAGTATACGATCACTGGCGCTACACGAAGGATTTTCAGTATTATACTTCCTGTAGTTGTAATGAATGATCACTTCACATTTTTTCTTAGACGCAACATATTTTTACATTAGCTTCATATTTTTACATTAGCCTGCCAGTTAACTAAAATGATTGAGCTTAACTGGCAGGCTAATGTACAACTTCTATGGTGAAATGAATTTAAGCTGAGTCTTCAACTTAATGGTTAACCCCACAGTTCTCTTTATCCAGATCTTTATGTATGAATAAAACAGAATATGAAATCTGATCTTACAAAGCGTTTAACGAGCCAAGAAAGTCCAGATGGTCAAAATACTACAATAGCAATCTGAAAGTCAAAGTTTTTGTTTGAACTTAACAATTGAATTATTAAAAATATGAAACGACCGAATTATTTATTTTTATATATTAACTACAATAAGAAAACAATTGTATGACCTCCTTCACTACAGCTGAAATTTATAAGGAAGACCCGCATCTGAGGAAATAGGGTCAGGGAGAAAAGTTTAGATAAACAGAAAAATCTAAGACCTTGAAAAAATTAGGGTCATAATGAAAAGCCTCATTCGGTTTATTGTTTTTTTTTCCAATTTTGCCACTTGTTACTGTTTCATCAACAATATTTCTCAAGTTTAAATCCCACATTTCGACCTTCAAACAATGTTATCCTCTTTCGTGTAAGAGAAATATCGATTGCGTAGAAAGGAATCGCTTTTAGTACCTACATGGATGTCTTTCCTTCAACAAGTATTTCGAAATAATTTTAAAAATAATAAAAGATATTTCAAGTATTTTTAAATAAATAAATAATAAAATTTATCATTAAATACGGTTATTCTATGTTATTCTGATTATTCTATATTCGGTAAATAATCTGGTGGCAGATTCTGTAAGGGTCTAAAGCGCAAGGCTCTGCCATAAAGGGAAATGATAACATCAGCTAATTTTGTCAACTTTAGTTGTTAGTAGTAAATACTTTCATTGTTTTCCGCTTTTTCTATCTTTGTTCCAGTTCAGAAACTAGTTATTTTAGATTCATTTTAATTTTTTTAAATTAAAGCTTCATTTACCCTGACACGATAAATGACCTTCATTTGAAAATGCCAGTATGTAGGTTTTGTTTAACAGTGTTAATGTACAACCTAAGTTATTATGAATCCCCTATAAAATTTGCTAACGAATTCAACTTAGAATACTTTGGCAGTCAATAAAAGTAGAAACGTTCGTGGGTACGAAGCTTACAAATTATAACCGCATTAACCATGACATATTTCCTAATCTTTATTTTGAAACCGTAATTAACAATTGTTTGGTAAAATTTACAACACAGGTCAAGGGTAATTTTTTAATATAATATACATTAGCACGACTAATTGATCTAGATTATGGAAAATGCATTTTAATGAGATGGCGTAAATGTTTGTAAATAAATCGGTAATGAATTCTATCATTTGTTACATATGGCCATCATTATTGCGAACTGTTACGAATAAATAAATATCTATTGTTATGAATCAATAATAAATTAACATAATATGCTTTCAATATTTAGAATAACATTCACAGTTTTAAATAGCTGGAGAAAAAAGAAAATGCTCGATCGAAAGAGGGGGTTATTATTACTATTTTTATCTTAGCCATGCAAAGCACAGAATTTAAGGCTATTAATTTTACAATCTAATAAAAGGTGATTTGGGAATGAGAGGATGTTATTTCAAAAGACTCATCTGAATAGAAACTAGATATGACAAGAAAGACCTGTTTGCAGACAAGTATTCTTGTATTCCATGTATGGCTAAATACCATGTGTATGGTTTTATAAGCCACATATGCACGACTATGAAAACCACAGATTAGATTTTAGGGCAACATGCGAGTTCGTCTAAGAATATTCAAATGTGGTATTAAGTTTATATTCCTTATAATGAATAACCATAGGCATAGCGTGATAGATAACTGAGCGTTATTTAGTAAATATCTTGAACAAACAGGTTTCCCAGGCCTTCCATACACGAAATGGTTAACCTTTTAGCCATAACCTTCTAATTCAAGAGCACATAATATATCTCCTGCATAAAATTATTAATTAAAACTTTTCTTTTTGTGACCAGCATTTTTACTAAAATCATCTTTCCTGCAAATAATATAACTGCTTTTATTATTTATGGAATCACTCTTATAATTTCAGAAACTGACGCAACAAGAAATTATGTAACTTGCTCGACGATGGTAAGAAATCGATTAGTCCTAAATAAATTCAGTGTATGAGTTTCTGAGGCCATATGGGTTAGAACACATACAACATTTAAAGTTTAAAAAGATTTTATGTAAGTAGTAAGTATTCTTAATATGGAAATGGAATTTATAGCAACCTTTTCGGGTTGCATAGCATCATTGGATTATGAGAAATGGTTACAAATTTTAACTTGTAATAACAACAGTCTTTAGAATAGTTATAGCAGTTTAAGTGGGATTTTTAGGCCATCTTCAGTTTGTATAGTTAACTTTATGACAAAGTGAATTACTAAACAGAAGAAGAAAATGACTAATTATAATCTACAAAATTACTTTCAAAAAATCATGTTTGCATAGATGTAATCCATTTAATGACAAATAAATGCTTTAAAACAATAAGTATGCTTCCTTCCTCTTCCAAAAATTACTTGAAGATCTATCTATTAAGTGTTACTTCTAAAATCATAGAAATTTTAAATTACTTAGTTGTTTTACAAACGAATGTGGAAATGAAAATTAAATATTAAAAACGTATTGTAAAACATATTATCGTATTTGCTATCTTAAAAAAAACTTATATAGTTACTTATCAGAATTTTATCCTGTTTTCTCGGTTTAAAAGCATAATAGCACTCACTATGTAGCTCTCTTTTTAAGAGGTGAAAGGACTAAAAGTTCTTAAAAAGAATTTACAGTCCCTTTATGCTTTCAGTAAAAATCGCAAAATTAACCAATATACAGAATTTTTCCTCTTTGTAATAGTTTGTATAGGGTCAAGTGGTATTTTGGGAAATCTAGCGTTTAATAAGTTGTGCACATAGTTATGTGCTCCGTAATCCTTTCCTATCATAACTCCTCATAATATACACCACGCACACACGAAAAAGTGATGAAATGTTTTAAGTTCTAAATAATACAGACTTAATAGTAATGCAAAGAAATAAATAGCTTGATACTTGAATCTAACTACAATTATGTGACAAACGTGTTGTCAACTGTATCTCAATGATTTAATTGCGGTAAAGATACCATATTCTATTTACATAACGAAGCTGCGGGTTTTAGATGTCAGAATCAGCTTTTTTGGTCTAGTTCAAGGTCTCTTTTGAATAATAATTTGCCAGTATTGCCAAAAATGCTTGTGCATATCTCTGCAATTTACTTATGCAGAAATGCCGCCAAAATGATATTGTTTGAAGTCGAAATGCCGCTTGCATTTTTTGCATATAGAATCCCGTCAGAATGCAATCGTATCGGTAAGTTGCCAAGCATTTACCAAAGTGTATGATATAGTTAGTGAGAAATTTTTGTTTTCCATTTTACTCTATTTTTTAACTTGAATCATAAATACATTGTATGGATGAGCACTTTGCTAAATTAAATAAATTTATTTTTAGAAAAAACTCCACTTTTAAATACTTTCAGATGTGTGTCTTGAATATTAACTTGTAGAGGCATTAGGTATTTCTTGAAAGCAGGAGAGATGAAAAATGAGCAATGCCCTCGACGGGACTCGAACCACGGACCTATCGAATGCGCATCGAGCGTGATGTCCACTACATCGCGAAGGCATGCTATGAAGGCGGGAGAAATACCTTATGTACCCGCCTTTTAAAGGGCGACTGTGGATTAGGGGACCCACTCGCCAAATCCTGGTGGCGGCGATTCATCATCCACCACCATTTTTAGTTCGGACGCCACTGTAGAGACATTAGGTATTTTTTTAAAGCAAGAGATGTGAAAAAAGAGCAATGCCCTCGCCGGGACTCAAACCACGAATCTCTTGAATATGCGTCGAGCGTGCTAACCACTACACCACGAAGACATCCTAAAACGCGGGAGACCTTATAAACTAACATTAAGCTACCTCTCTCAGCGAGGCATCATGACTCCATTTTATTATGTTTTCATACTTTCTTGTTTAATAAACCTAATTTTGAAAGCATATAGTTTAAAGGGGAAAGTAAGAAATTTGATGTAAAGAAATGTACATTTTATTATAATTACCAGCATGAACACAAAAGGTTTAAGTTTAAATGCCTTAAGATAAATAATATCAAATATACTTCAGATGTGTATTTATTTCACTTAACTATCATAACGTGATATATACATTCCTTAATTGAGGAAGAAAATAGGTGATCATTTCCAGTATTATATAGACTCATTAAAAACAAATCAAGAAATCTGGGGTCAATAGCAAAAGATAATAAGTATATTGTCTTTTCCAGCGGTCGTACAACTTTCCTCATCTACTTACGTGACGTTTAAAGGAACA